TTTTAACAAGAATAAAGGAAGAACTCCAATAGCTTTACTTTAAATGAGATTGTAGCCTGAATGAGCCCTGCTTTGTGTATTTTAGGCTGTAAGAACCAAACAAAAACAGTTTACTCCTTGGTATGATTAATTGCGATTCCTATTCCACTAACAATAATGCTGTAGTGGAATGCACAATTTGCATAATTTTATTGTTAAGAAGGAAGATAAAAACAATATGAAATAAGAAAAATAAATCAAAGGGAAATCTGAAAGTGCAAGAATGAAAAAAAGTAAAAAGAAAACAAAAGAAAACGATACAAAGTAGTTTCTGATTTTGTTTACTGCAGTCATAAATAAAATTATAAATTTACCTCTTATATTATAGTTACAATGCCACTCCCTTTTTTCTATACTCTATACTGTTTAATTATTAAAAGCATAAATCATAAGTTCATTTTTTTGTTTTATGTAAAATCCACAAGGGGGTTCTTGTCAGCTATAAATGTAGATAATGTCTTTTTTTCTGATCAAAAAAGTCAACATAGCCATTTCATCAAGTTCCATGATCTTCACTACTCTTTGTGGATAGTGCTGAATTTTTCCATCTTTGTGTATAAAATATTGTAATATTGTTGCAATTATCATCTACAAAAACAAAGTTCCATGGCTTTTCCCCCATCTGTTTGTCTCAAAAGAAAAATCTCTGGTCTCAATTGTATACCAAACTTTAAAATCCTCTCAATCAATGGTTGTATTTGAATCCAGGATTTTCTACCACCAAACATAATACAATGTCCTTTCTTGTTGTTTACATTTCCAAAATAAATTTAAATGTCTTTATACTCCAAGCAATTTCTCTGATTACATATACCAATGAGACATCATTTTATAAAAAATCTCTTTAAAAAGATTATAATATAGTATAAATTTCAGTCCTTTCAATCACATATTTTTCTATTGTTCCATTTGTATATTATAACCAAAAATTTTAGCCCATTTTATCGCACATTCTTTCACTTCTATTTAAAATTTCAATAAATGTTTATATATTTTAGCAATTACATGATTATCCTTAGTGCACAATTCTATTTTAAATGTAGAGTTTTAATGTTCAAAACCTTAATTTTTTCTGTCTACATTAAATCTTTTTAAATAATTGTAATAGAACTACTGACATATATCCCTCTGCCATCAGTTTTTCTCTTGATTTTATTTTACATTTCACTTGACAAATTCTATTTTATAACCCCCTTGACAAATTTCTTGTTAAATTAGCCATTTGTTTGTGCTTATTATTTCTTGTCTATGAAATGCTACTTTTGCTGACAGCCACAAAAATGTTTTTGGGCACAACCTGAGTTTGTATCTGTCCCATATTCTCAACAAGGCACTTCTAACACAATGATTTTTAAAGTTGTACCACAAATATCCATACCATACAAATTTCAGGTCATGTCTTTCTAAATCCCAGAATGCATAATTTTATTCTATTAGGTGTTGCCTCGTCTTGACTTCGCAACCAACAGACACAAACCACCACGTCAGGAACGAAGAACTTTACTTTATTACAGCAAAAACGCAGTTTAAAGTCAGCACTGACAACCATTGCAATCATGGCTCTTTTATACAATTCAAAATACCCCGCCTAGCCCACACCCACGCTAACACCCAAGCACCGCCACCCTCTTCCGGACCGCCCTACAGACCCATATATGGACACCCATCCCGATTGTTCTAGCCTTCAGCTGCCGCCACGTGACGTTTCCCGATGCTTCGACGGCTTCCCGATGCTTCGGCAGCTCGATTTGCTTTAATTAGTGTCAGTGGCTTCGTCCCGGCGTTCACGCATGCGCTCTGGCAATTCTAGCTTTTTCTACTATCTGCGCATGCGTCATTGTAGGCCGGTCATTAGGCTTTCTGACAGAAAATGTGCAATTTAAAGAGTCGGTTTCAGTTACTTACTTATACTTCATGGTGTGTTTTCCTTAAATAATGAAGTGGGTAATTTGGTTGAAAGTGCAAGCATTTCACAGAACATTTTAACTTCATTTTAAGGTGACACCTTGGTTCATTATTTCAGAAATCTGGTGAAACATAAAGTGACTTCAGGGCATTTATGGAATGGAGATTGCTCTCTTAAGACATCACAGGAAAGTTCCTTCAGAAGGTCAGGCATAATATTTACCTAGCACAGCACTGTCAGCTCTTATCAGGAGCAATTTTTGTACGAGAAGAGCAGGCAGGGAACAGAGTAAAGTGCACCATCAGTTTAGAGTTGTTGCATTCCCACAAGCGCTCCAAGTCCAACCACTCCTGAATTCCCACCAATTTAATGTTGAACTTTAGCTGACTAGATTCTTGTGTCTAGGCTGCAACCTTATGAATGGTCCTACCTATATCTTGGCCAACAGATCTCAATGCAAAGTGGTAAAGGAAATTAAACAATGTGTTAAATGTGGTTGGTAAGCATTTTGCAAGCTAAGCGTGATTTTCAAGAATAACAGCCCTCTCTGCCTGAAGAAAAAAGTTTTCAATCAGTGTGTGCTACTTGTTCTAACATATACTAGCGAAACATGGACACTAATCCCGCAATCGAAACAAAAGCTTTGAGTGGTGCAAAGAGCCATGGAAATGTCAACCCCCCCAGAGAAAGAAATATTTTGGGGAATATTAAAAAGGCAGGATATTATATTTCCCCAAAGGATCTTAAAGGTAGAGAAGCAGGCCCAGTTTTTCTTAATAGCCCCCAGTAGAAACTCAGGAAACTACCTTTTAGAAATACAGATTTGATAATCCCATTCAGCCCATTCATGAGCAAATATCACCAGGCAGAAGCCCACTCAAGACAGGATATTTTGAAATCCCTTGCAAAACTGATAGCTAACAATAGAGTGATAGAATTAGAACCACAACCCCAGTGGTGGGATTCAGCCGGTTTGCACCACTTTGGCAGAAGCGGTAGCTAATTTTTTGTTGCCCAGGCCCAGAACAGACTTCTAGAAGCTGCATTCACACATAGAACTGGTTGTTCACATATCTGAATCCCACCACTGCACAACCCCTCATCCAAAAAAATCCAGCGCAGGACATAGTCATCAGTCACAGTCCCAGGAAGCAGGATATAACCTTTGGGACATAATAGGATTAGCCCACCACTATCAGAATACCAAAAGGCACACTCAGACTCAGGTCAAAGTACATGATACAGGAAATACAAAGCCTCAAACAGGAACAACTCCAAACACAAAAGCCCAAGAAAGTATAAAAACCCACCACTCCCACCAACATGTGGTCAGCTGCTTCAGAGGCTCATGTCTTGTGGTTCTGCTCTTCAATAAACTATAACCTTATTTCTAAAGCAGTCTCCATTTTGTTTATCCCCGGCTTGGACTGGACCCTGATGAAGATTTTTCTTTCAATAGAAAAATACATGCTTGGTGTCACAAGACAAGATAGAATGCCCTGCAAATGGATTTGAAAACAAATAAAAGTATGTGATACCATCAAGAGAGTAAAAGAATTGAAATGGAAATGAGCTGGTCACATAGCAAGAAGAACTGATGCCAAGAGGACCAAGGCAGTGATAGAATGGATCCCACTTGCTAAAAAGCATCCACAGAAGAAACCTAAAAGATGGATTGATATCAGCATTGGGGGGGGGGGCAATTGGCAAAAGAAAGCTGAAGTCCATACTTCATTTTGCAGTGGATAGACAATGGCTAGAATAATAACTAAAGCATTGTTTCTAGAATATTAGCCAAGGGAGAAGATTCATTATGCAGTGATAATGGTGGTGCATAATTGAACTCCTTTACATGTACTGTTCTGGTTAATGTTGTGCTGAAATCTGCCTAGCATTTTTTTACTTTTTTTTCCCTTTACATAATTGCTTCATATTTTTTTACCTTATGTCTGCAAATTCTTTCATATTTTTTGGTGGTTTTAATGTTTCTTATTCTTGAAGGGATGGAGAGGGTGCCATTTTCTGTTGCAGAACTTTCTGTCAAGTTAAGTTTGCCTGAATTTGCACATTTACCTTGTGCCTGACAAGAATTCTGGCATAACATCTTTCTTGGGATTTAATTGAAGCATTGAAAGCTAGAGAGAAAGACCATTAATAATTTGGCATCTGCAAGGGGCCAACAACATCATATGTCAAGTATCATGATGCAAATTAAATAAATCATGAAATTTGCATAAAATTACCTACTATATAAATGAGTACAATGGCATCATGACTCCTTTAGGGTCACTGTGGCTTCTACAGGATATCTAGAATTAATGAAATGCAGGACAATTACCTTGGACTGTTAATGTCAAATAAATAAAAAATGTTAGCTTGAAGCCAATTCTCTTTCAGAAAACTGAAAGAGAAGATACTTACCTACATATATTTTCTTCTGAGGCATGTTACATGTTCCAAAGAGGTTTTCTTTGCCATTTTGTGTACAATAAAGAGTGCAGTATATTTACATACAGATGCTTCACATAAACTTTAATGCAACCATGGGATTTTTTTTATTTTTTAAAAATGAAAAAACATAATACACATATACACACATTGTATACTCCTTTTTTAAACAGCAATTTTGTAACGGTAATCTTCTATTATTTACATTTGCCCCCTTATTCTTCTTTAGATATATTTGTCCTTGTCCCGTTGTTTCTTGTTTACATTTTTCTTTATTCATACTATACCTCATACTAAAATAATACATATTATTATGTATGTGTGGGATTTTCTTTCTTTAATGACCATTCCTTACCCACCAATCTAGATGTGCTCAGTTTATAATGGGGAGATCATCGTGTTCTTTTGCTGCATTGGTCCACAATCAAGAGAGAGCCTCCTCAGCTCAGCTCCTGTCTCTTTAACTTCCAGCAATTCCCCCCCTCCTCCCTCCGCGTCTATTTTTAGCTGGCCTCTTGATGGTAGCATCCATTTCTTTCCTTCTTGCCCCCGCCCGTTCCCTTTTCCCCTCCCTCCACTCAATGGTACTTTCTACACGGAGAAGGTCAGCCGACTGAGCATGCCTGAACGTTGCTCGGCCAGGATGCGCGCTCGGCTAATCCCATTCACTGGGAGAGGGCCGTGGCGCACGCGCTCGCTCGCTCTGACTGGCTGCCGGGGCTGAGCCAGCGGCTGCGCCGGCTTCTGCAGGAATCAGTGAAGCGGACGAACGTACCCCCCCGCTCTTCTTATCCGCTGGGCACCTCCTTGGCAAGTAAGTTTCTTGGCTTCTTTCGCCTCCCTCCGTCTTCCTTTCGGTCCCTGAAGTCGCAGGGGCGGGGCGGGGGTCTGTAGCGGCTACCCAGAGCAGCAGAAGCTTCAAGCGTGGATGGAAGGCAGAAGGGAGCTGGTCCTTCCACAGGGCTGGAACAAAGCCCGGGATTCGCGCGCGCCTTCGGTTTTCTTCCCCGGGATAGTTTCAGCAAGCTTGGAGAGTCCTTTTCGCCATGTTCTGGGCTTTTCCTTTCCTCCGCTTAGGCTGGAGGACTTACTAATATTTCGTTGACGCGCAGAGCTCGTCTCTGGCTCTCTCCGTGCGCTCGCGTGACGAATACTTCTATCTAGATTTTGGTTCTCCGGCCACTTTGCTAGTTTTCTTGCAAGAGGGCATCTGAGCGCAAGGGAAGAAGCGAAGGTCGGCCGGTGGGGAGGTGGAACGGAGTGGTGGATAGTTTTTTGCGGGCTGGCAGGAAGGTTAAATAACCGGCAGGGAAGCTTCTTCGGGGCTGGGCAGAGAGGAAGGTGGATCGCCTGGGCTTGAGCTTCAAGCGCTGGGGAATTCCACGCGAGCGTCCGGCGTGGAAAGGGCCGGTTCTGGAGGGAAAGAAGACTCCCCGGCTCTCCCAGTGGCAGTTGCGAGTTGGCTTTCCCGACTTAATCGCCGGCGCTCGGCGAGAGAGAATGGCGATTGGAGTTTGCGCCAATGACCCGGGCTGAGTGGATTAGCGGCCGGTCGCTTGCGCAAGCCGCAGTACTCGAAGCCCTAAGCCTCCGACTCCTGACCCATTTTTTTGGGGGGGGGGGAAAGCAATTTCGTTCGCCCGGAGGAGCCGTTGGCTTCCTTCCCTGCGTGAAATGCACCAGCTAGATTCAGAGCCGGACGGTGTAGAAGACCCTTGCCTCAGGTCAGCCATGCCCATCCAGATAAGCGTTAAGGCTGTGAGTCCGGCTGGGGCGACACACTTCTGTGCCTGGAGGCGGGGGAGCGCGTTAGATTGGGATTTATGGGGTCAGTGGCTCTACCTTGCCAATCCCTGCTGCTTGTCGGGCTGGCGACCAGCCGGTGGTGTCTGGAAAGCCCTGTGGCAGTAGAGTATCAGCTGGATATCTTCCTATGCCGTGGCATATCCATGCTTTGCTTCCTTGGGGAAATACCAGCTTTTGTGAATGAATAAGAGAAAAGTGTTGACTGTCTCTACACTCAACATGACCCAGTCCTCTCAGAAAGAAAGGAAGGTGTCTTAGATACCTGCAACCTAATTTTATGGCGTCTTCAGCTGTCTCCTGCTTCTTTCTGCAGGTGTCAGAATAATGCTGTTTTGCCAGTGCCCTCTTGGTCAATCGGTCCCTCTCATAAGCGCAGGCTCTAGATTCTAGATTTCTAGAGTCTAGAAATAGGCATAGCCGGTGTGAAAACAGTGTTGACAGTGTTATGGTGCCAGAGCTGTCATAACTGAAGGAAGACATTCACAGTGTTAATGCACCCAGGCTTTAAAAGTAGTAAACTCACAAGAGTCAACCATGATGTTGACCATGCCAGACTAGATGTTAGGTTAAACAGTACTTTGCATTCAAATTAAATTACACAATTATCCAAAGCATGCCACGGGGAGGGGGGCAGCAGAATAAGTTACTATGACAATAGAAATGGAATTCAGACTAGATATATTAAAGATGCCTCTCTGAGGATTGAAAAGCATCTTATAACTTGGCTGGAAAAATATTAAAGTAAACTCAATCCTTCTTCTTGCTTGCCAGTTTGACTTACTGGTATATAAGTGATATAAACAGAAAATAATGCATAATAAATTAATTTTTAAATATGATTTTGAGCAGAACACTGAGAACAACTTATGTGTACACACCCCCTGTACTAAATATACTGTCCTTTCTAAATTGCTAAAAAATCTAGAGATACTAAATTTTGATTTTTGCTAAGCTACGGTTGAATCAGGAAGAGAATCAGAGAACTGAAAATGATATTTTCTTTGATTAAAAAGATATAAATAAAACAACTGTTTTTCTTCTGATATATTTAGATTTCCTTTTTGTAACCAAGGTAGCTGTCTCATTAAAACAAATTTAATGCTAACTAATAATGTTAGTTATTTATAATTAACCATTTGTAAATGATTGGGAAATAAACAAAATGTTTCTTTTTCAAAACTTTGGATTGAAAAAAAGACCAGAATGGAAAGATCAGTTTTACAAAGCTTCTGATTGGTTCTAATTGGTTTAATAAGTCCACATAGGATTTATTAAATTGCTTGCTTTTGTGAGTAGAGTACTAGCTTATTGCGATAGCTTTGGGGATCATCGTAATGTTTTGGGTTCATTTTTCTTTAAATTTTAGTTAGAGCTGTCAATGAACAGAACATGTCATGTTTCTGTCACAAGTGAAACTGATAATGTGCTCTCACAGTGAAGTGGTGTTCTGATAGGGGGATGGGATGCAACCCAATAATGTCTTTAAAATGGGGTTCAGTGTTTTTTTCCTGTGGAAATGACTGGCTGCCAAGCAGCACTGAATATGTACTCCAAGATAAGTACTGTAATATATTTCTATGATGTTCACACTCTGATTATTTAGATAATTAGTGCCCTCCAGATGTTGATATGATACACCCCATAGGTCCTAATCAGCCCTGTTAATAGTTATGCCTATGTATTTGAAGAGCTTCAGGGTACAATATGCTAATATTGTAGAAGGTTGTTCCAGAATATGTTATTGCTTCCTGAAATTTAGAAAGGTAGGTGGATATCTGGCCTATACAAGATGCTTCTGCCACAGTTCCATCAGACAGTAGTTGGCTCTGGAAATTCGGGCTGACATCTGAAAAACTAGACTGAGGAAGAAGCATAGGACATTTTCATTTTTTCTTAATTGGAAAAATGTTTTATGTCCGTAGTGACTCACACAGATCAATGATTGTATGAGACAAGAATTTTAGAAAATATACACAGACATTTATTTTTTATGTGTTAACAGCTCAGTTTCTATAAATGCACTTTTAAATAACTTTGATTATTATGAATTATGGAATTTGAGACCTTCAAAAAACCCATATTATTTGGAAGTTATATGCAGTATGAATGAACACATACACACACAAGATGTGTGTGTGTGTGTGTGTGTGTGTGTGAGATGTGTCATGTGTCAGATGCTGATTACGTGTGAAAGTTGACTGCAGGATGTGTGTAGCTCATAAATAAATATCCTCCCACTCAAATCAAGTCTTATTCCAAGTGTTCTGTTTCTATGAATTTGAGAAAAGTTGTAAACTTTTCATTTGCTTGAAATTATTGCATCAAGTCATTTCCTTACAGTATGTTTTTAAAGACAAAATCTCAGGCATTTTGCCAGTCTACAACTATGCAGGTAGTCCTCAACTTACAACAGTTAATTTAGTGATCATTCAAAGTTACAACGGCACTGAAAAAAATGACTTATGACCGTTTTTCACAATTACAACCGTTGCAGCATTCCCATGATCATGTGATCAAAATTTGGACGCTTGGCAACTGGTTCATATTTATGATCTTTGCTATGTCCCAAGGTCGTGGGATCACCTTTTGTGACCTTTTGACAAGCAAAGAGCCATGGTGGCATAGTGGTTAGAATGCAGTGCTGCAGGTTACTTCTTCTGATATGCCGGCTGCCAGCAGTTCTGCAGTTCAATTCTCACCAGTTCAAGGATGACTCAGCTTTCCATCCTTCCGTGGTTGGTAAAATGAGGACCCAGATTGTTGGAGACAATATTCTGACTCTATAAACCACTTAGAGAGTGGGCTGTAAAGCACTATGAAGTGGTATATAAGTCTAAGTGCTAGTGCTAGTGGTAAAGTCAATGGGGAAGCCAGTAACTTGAGTTACTAACTTATCAACTGCAGTGATTCACTGCTGCTGTTTCACATACACATTCTCCCCCTCCCTGGAAAGTAATTACATATTCTAGTTATGTATTGAATACATTTCAGAAGTATGGGACAAATACTCAAGTACATAGAAACCTGGGTCAAATAGAGCTGATATAGAAGTTGTAGAGAACCAGATTGCTACAGTGGTTAAGGCATCAGCTTAGATGCCAGGAGACCATGAGTTCTAGTCCTGCCCTAAGCATGAAGCTAGCTGATTGATGTTGGACTGGTCACTTTCTCTCAGCCCTAGGAGGAAAGCTAGGTCAAACCACTTCTAAAAAACCTTGCCAAGAAAGCCACAGGAATTAGTCCAGGCAGTTGCTGGGACTCAGTAGTGACTTGAAGGTAATGAATGATAAAATAATTAGATAAAAGTGCCTCATAATTATATACAGATATACACACACATATTTCTGTGTTTTTTAAATCAGCTTGTATTTTTATATTTGTCTATATTTGCTGTTTCTCTGCTTGTTGTCTGTCCTTTTGCTGATCAGTGTTTTTGTCAACACGTATTTTTTATATCTAGATCTCCTGTAGCTTGCTTCAGCTATCTTATGTCCCAAGTATTCACCATACGCATTTATGAACAATAAAGTTATTTATTTGTTGTCAGATGTGTGTTTAGTTGTACCAGAGGTATCCATAACCAGTGGCTTCAAAATGGAGATGCATGTGTACAATGATCATCACACAAAATGCTGCAATTATAGTTTTGGGTCATAATATCAGATGCAGATACATAAGATATGGCACTGATGGGATGCACCATCATGCAAATGCCCTCATTTGTTCCCCTTGCAAACTCCCATGGTTTTGTACTAGCTTTTCATTTTCTAAAACCATTAGACTTGGTCACCCTAATAGAAGGGAGGAACTGGAACCATTTATTTGAAAGCATAATCCTGTGTTCTTGTTTTTTTCTGTCTAGATTCTAGGTTAAAGTGAACATGTCTCCATCAAAAACAAGTGGTGTCAGCTTAATTAACTAGCTTGAATATAAATCTTACATCTTGGAGAACATGGTGGAGCTCAGAAATAAAAATGAGAGAGTGGGATTCTAGAAGGAAATCTGTC